TATAAAGTACGACATATAAAGACAAGAAGGTTGAAATAGAAAACTAAAAAGGGAAGGGAAAAAAAAATAAATAAGAAGGAAAGAATAAAGTGGAAGGGAGAAAAAGTAGGGAGAGAAGAGAAGGATAGAGAAGGGAAAGCAGGCAAGAAGGAGAAAGAGATTGAATAATCTGTGAATAAGTATCAGGTAAAGATTCGGTATCATTTTGCCTATTAAGGCCTTGTTTCTGTCTTTTAATATGAATCATTTTAGACACCAATCTCTTATTGTAAGAAGATTCGCAGTCCAAAATTCTCACATCATTCCATTTGAAATTATGATCAAAATTGATTCGATGACCAGTTATGACAGTAGGAGAACCTGTATTCTTTTTGATGTCAGAGATATGTTCGTGTAGTCTCGTGCTCACTTTTCTGTCTGACCAACATAACTCGCCTCACAATCATCACATGAGATCTTGTAGACAACATTCTGATTGGATAGGAAATTAAGCTTGTCTTTTCCTTTCTTTATGAAGCTTTTTAAAGTGTTAGGAATTGAAAAGGCTAATTTACAATGAAACATACTAGAGATTGGAAGGAAACTTTCGGAAATAGATTTAACATAAGGAATCGTAAAATATTTGTCTTTATTACGTGAATAGTGTGTAGAATCTTTGTTATATTTGTGAAAGTTTAATCTGCGTAGAGAAAATAAAGGAAAGAGGATAACAGTTATTTAAGAAAATATGAATAGCATCTATCAAATTTTTTTGTTGGAATCGTGGATGTGATAATAGGATAATTTTGTCTAAATAAAACTGATGATGGTACCTTTTTTATAGCACAGAGGATGATTTGAATGGAAATTAAGAAACCTTCCAGAAAATGTCTTTTTATGATAAATGTCAAATATAATTCTCTGGTTATCTATAACCAGTATTGTATGAGAAAATTCAATCTGCCACTTGTACTCAACCTCCAAGGTAAACTGCAATCGTATGTAAAGAATTAAAAATGTTCAAAGTGTCATTGACAGTATCAGATGGAAGCGCGAGCAGAATATCGTCTACATATCTAAAATAGAACAAAGGTTATGCTGACAATTTTTTTAGTGCTATTTCTTCTAGATCTTGCATTACAATATCAGCGATTATCAGAGATAACGGTGAACCCATCGGAGTGCCAAACACCTGTAAGTTCTATTGTTAAAAGTAAAAAAGGTAGAATTTAAAATGAATCTGACAGCAATAATGACCTCATTTTTTGATATGTTTGTCTTCGCCGAGATGTAAACCCATCTCCTGTCGATGCTATTTAATACTAAACTTCAACAGGAATATTAGTAAAAAGGGACATTACATCCAACGAAGCCAAAATGTAATTAGGATCAAAAACAGAACCATTTAAATGCTCAACTAAATGGAAACTGTTTCTAATTAAATTGTGTAAAAAAAGAGAAAAATTATATAATGGACTGTTGATACATGAAACAATCACTCTCGATAGATAACCCTCCTTATGTATTTTAGTCAGACCGTAAACTCTAGGTATAACACCATCGGATGTAAGCAGTCTACGGTATATTAGTTCGTCAATAAATTGATCTCGCCTCCATCTCACCAAAAAAGTGCGTAAGTCTCGAGTTAATTTTTTACTTGGATCTTTATTAACGAAGGCGTAAGTACTCGTATCTGAGAGAATCTTCTCCATTCTTGATACATAGGCGTCCTTGTCCAGAGCAATAGTGACGTTACCCTTATCGGCGTTTGTAATGAGTATATTAGGATGGTCATTAATAAACTCTTGGTAGTGCGTAACCAATCCAAAATTAGTTTGTCAGTAGATGTAGGAGAAGGAAAATTATTGTGGAATCTATTGAGAATTGGAAGGGAATTATTCCTGACAAAATTAATGATATTATTGGGACGACCAGTAATATTATTTTCTATATGTTTAATGAATTCAATCAAGGTACTGTCTTTGTTGATTGGAAGCCCGAATTTTTCGCCAAATTGCAAAAGGTAACGAACCTCTAAGGGAACGTCAATGTCGCTTAGGTTGATAAACCATTTATCCCGTAAAAAAATCTAAAAGAGGAGCCTCATCAAAAATGTCGGGAGCAATATCAATTCTCTCGAAATTGGATTGGGTATTGTACGGGTATCTATCAACAACGAGTTGAACACACACGGTTCGAAGGAGCACATTTGTGTCAACTATAATCGTTTGTTTGATTTCTCTCAATTTGGAGCGAGTTTTATAGTTAATTTTGGTTCCGAATGCGAATTTTATTTAATTTCTTATGTTTTTATCTACGTTACAACTCTATTGTTAATTTATTTGTCACATTAATTTATTTGTCACATTAATTTATTTGATTAATTTATTTGTCACATTGAAAATGATCCAACAAGGATCAAAACATTTGTTTTGTTCACTTTCTGATTGTCAAATTATAATTTACGTTTTTAATTTTATGACATAGTTTTATTTTATTTTTTAACTATTTATACAGTTTGTCAATTTATGTTTTAGGCTCGTAGCCTTTTTTCCTTTTTACTTATTTTGATTTATTGAGCCTTATTACTTTTATAATTTTAAAGATAAATTGTACAATTACAGTTATAGTAACAGTATTATGTCTTCATATTCAACAAACGTTATTGAAAAAATGAAGCATCTATTAACAAGCAAGTAATTAAGACCTTCTGTAATTCTAGTAACACACAAATTATTAGGTGTACAAATAAGTTTCCGCCGTTTGACAAAAAACGGCGCCACTAGCAAGCTATGATTAAAATTGTCTGATGTAAAACATTATATCGTAAG